CAGGCGCTAGACCGAGAGGGGGGCTTTGAACCTTAACTCCTCCTTCTTCCTTACAAAAGCAAGAGAACAGGGATTTTGGAATGGATGGATATTAAAGCACCTTACAGGTTCCCAGTGCACTTACAGACCTGAGGAGTCAGAATGACTCATCAAACTTGGAAATGACAAAACAGCAGAGATGCTAAGGAGGAGCCCAGATAGCTCAGTCTGTGATGATTCCCTCGGGTAATTCTGCTACTCAGTCAGAAAACAGAGCCAAAAATCTTGTAGCTTCCAAAAAATCACAGATACTTCAATTTTGCCTCGCATTTACATATATTCATGAAAAAAATGGTTTCATGTTAAAAGTTTGAAAAGTTCACACTTCAAATATACTAAGAATATTGCTATCGAAAAGAGCTTTCTTAGAAAGGTAACTTTTGTAACTGATTCTTTAATTTTTCAACCTTAACTTTTCTTCCTAATACACTGAAATTTTTAAATGAGCTTAAGTCATTACAGGGAAAAAAGGTGAAGTTTTAGGCAAACATTTCCTACCCCTGATAAAAATGAGAATTTGTGAAATAAGTAACATCTCTACCAGGCAGGCTGTGAGCTTCAGTGAGGAAGATCCCATCCTAGGTCAGGAGCTTTCCATGTGCATTAAAGGATATGGATATATTCTTGATGCCTAACAGATTTTAGGATAACTAGAAAGGATCCTTCTCTCAAAGCATCACCTACTTCATCACATCTGAGAATATTTTAAAGGAACTAATTAAGGAAAAAGTCATTTTGATTTTCAATTAAATCATTTCAAATGGAAATGATTTGGGTAACATACTGTATTGCTTTAAACACAGGTGATCAAGGACGAAACATGAGCCATCTTTGGAAATAATGAACCTGGGCTCAGAAAACACACAGCTCAGGGCTCTCTACAAAGGTGGCACAGAGCAAAGGGGTAAGGAGAGGGAGCCTCAGACACTAGCACACTAGTGTAATGTGCTCTCTGATGGAACAATGACTTAGGTACTTCTCTGTGATATCTCTCCACTCCATCATTATGGCAATCTATGCCCTCTTGTTGAAAGGGCAGGAAGGAGCTCAACCAACCTAAGGAGGGTAGTATTCACTTTGTGCAAGCATTTTAACCTCCCCACGAGTGTTTCATCTTCTGTAAAATAAGGAAAATGATCAAAGTGTTCTTGTGACAATTCCATGAGTTCGCACTCATAAAATGATTAGAATATGACCAGCACATAGTAGGTCCTCAGAAAGTGGTGGTCAGTCGTGGGTCAGGGTGTCATAGGTAAAGACACTCTCTCTGTGCTTACGCTGTGTAGACCAGGCCACACAGGATAGCAAAATAGTGTCAACATTCTAGAGTTCTAAGAGCATTAAAAACCCCGAGAAATCCTCTGTCTGCTCTGAGGATTGTCTTTAGAAGATTTTTAATTAGTCCCTGTATAAAAAAATAAGACACTATTTACAGACTAAAGAATGACCCATAAAAACCTCAACTTTGATCTTCTTTTAAAACATGAGGCCATCCATCCACACAGGTGTGTACTTTTGGGTGGGACTGCTTCCCTTAGACCAGACAGAAGCTCTTTGGTTTACCACAGTCCCCACTGCTCCCTTATGCCCTTTGGCATGAAACCACATGTGGGTTGTTCTTACATAGTTTTCAAAAGCAAGGCTATCATTTATTAATAAAACTAACAAACCCCAAGAAACTTTCCCTATAACTATTTCCTTTCAAAAGTGGAAAAAGAGCATGTAAACCTTTAGAGAACACTTAATTTTTCTCGTACTTGGCCCACTTTGGCCATTTACACTCTTTGGCCACTGTAAACACTAGAGGTACATTTGCAATCTCATATCTAGTCTAACACCTCTTCTACAAATATGAAAAGCAAGTACCCCAGAGAGGTTAGGTGACTGTCTGAGGTCACAGGCCTTTCTTATTAGTGGCAAGAGCTGTAGCCACACACAGGTCTTTTCCCCTCTTCAGTGTTTCTGATTTTACACCCATCATTTTCTTTCTGAAGGATCAGCTAACGTGGGTTCAATCCATGTTCCATACAACAAAGCAGAGACAAGAGGAAGCCCCTCAATGGCAACAAGGAAGCACCAGGTCACTACAGACACAAGACACCTATGATCAGGGTGATCCCCTGGGGTTCTCGGCAGGATTCTCCTTTCTTGGGATGCCTGTCTGAAATATTCTTTTGAAGATTTTAAGTCATCTCTACACCCAACATGGGACTTGAACTCACAACCCCAAGATCAAGAATCAAACACTCTATAGACTCAGCCACCTAGGAGTCCTCCCCCACTTTTTTTTTTTTCTTTTTTTACCTTAAATCTAATGATGGCCAACATGGAGGGAATGATGCTCCTTTCAAGCAACTGCTTGAAAAACTCATTTATGCTTAATCACCACCTTCCATGTCTGATTATAACTTTTTTTCTAACGTGTTTTCTAACTTACTTAACTAGATGACATAGTGACCGGGTGATAAGAATATATAAGATGACACATAAGAACTCCCCAAATACCCAGCAAGAATAAGCAGGAGAAAGAAACAAAACAGCAGAGAAGCTGCACTGTCCCTACTTGTTCAGGTTGCTTCACAGTCTTGGGCGTCATTCCCCCTGTGAAATGACACCATCCTAGGTCCCAGGCATAGCCCCTTCCCTGCATGCACATAATGACATTATTTCTCTTACACCTTTCCCACAGGAGAAATGACAGGCGTGAACATTACATGGCTTATTAATTTAGCTCCATTGACTTTCACTCATTTTTCATTTCTGATTTTCAAGACAGGGACTCCATGAGCTGGTGAATTTAGTCTGGGCTCATTCCTTATCCTACCATCAAAGTGTCCCATAGATAACTGCTCACTTTTCCTCCATGTATCTCATTTAGGAAAATCTATGATTTATCTACAGTTTTATCACTGAGCATTTGCCAGAACTGGAATAGTCTTCTTTGAGACTCACCCTTAGAAATGAGGATGGTAATGTCTATTGGAGAGACTGCTGATATGAACAAATGAGACCAATTTTGCGCACTTTGTAAACTGTACAGCACCAAGCATAGGTGCCCTAACGGTCAGATGGTGTATTAAAATACAAGGGATAGAAGATGTTCTGAGAAAGAAGGCTGTAGGATTTAGGAAGAAGCTCATGACCCTGGGTCCATATCAGGAGACAACAGAGACTAAAAAAAGAAAAAGGGGAAAAAAAAGCGAAATGGATTATTATTATTTTTTTTTAATATTTTATTTATTTGACAAAGAGAGATCACAAGTAGGCAGAGAGGCAGGCAGAGAGAGCGGGAGAAACAGGCTTCCCGCGGAGCAGAGAGCCCGATGTGCAGCTCAATCCCAGGACCCTGGGATCAGGACCTGAGCCGAAGGCAGAAGCTTCACGCACTGAGGCACCAGGCGCCCTGCGAAGCGGATTATTAGCCCTGAGTTGTGGTCAGGAGGCAGAGCCTCCACAAAGAGCAGCACGGTACGTTTGGTGGCATCTCCCTTTGTGTTCCCAGAACCCATCCGTGCAAACTGCTGTTGTGGTCCCTATCCCATAATGCATATTGGATTATTTGCCTTCCCTCACCACTCCTCAGCATTTATAAATGGAGCTTTCCAGAAAAGGTCTCTGCAAAGCAGGCATCTTTGCATCTCCAGCCCTCAGCTTGGTGTCTAGTAGGAACTGGCAGCCTGTTGGGCTAAAGCTACTTGAGTGCGACAGACAATGCCTGCCCCATCCCTCCCTCTTGCCAGAGAAGTCTACATCCCAACCCCTGAAGCCTGTGTATATGGCGCCTGACATGGCAAGTGGGACTTTGCAAGTGTGATTAAATGAAGGATCTTGATCTGTGGAGATTATCCTGGATGGCGCCCATGGGATCATGGGATCCTTGTAAGATGGAGGCAGGAGGGAGGGTGAATTCAGGAAGAGGAAACAGGACAACACAACTGGAGTCTGGAGTGAAGTAGTTTGAAGATGAGAGTTAAAAACCACAAGCCAAGGACTTCTAGAACCTGGAAAAGCTAAGGAAACGATTCTGATCTGAAGCCTCATGTAAGAATATTGCCCTACCAGGACTATGAATATAGACTTTTGATCTCCAGAATTACAAGAGAATAAATTCATGTCTAGACACTAGACAGAATACAAGAAAAATAAATTTGTTACAGCAGCAATAGGGAACCTTGGGTAAGAAGTAAGTGAATAACTATCATTGGAATGAATGAAGAAATGAAAGAATAAAGAGACCTCTAGATAAAAAGGCAAAAGACCCAGGTTCAGGTTCCAACAGCCAGTGGGGTAAGCCAGGCCCCATCAATTAGTCTCTCTGGAATTCCTTAGCTTGAAGAGCTGAGCACATGGAGTTGGACCAATTAGAGTCCAAGAACATAGGAGGCTACTTCAGGGTGTGCATCTTGGGGCAAGGGGTTACCCTCTCTGAGCCCATGTCCATGACTATAAGACGGCCAAAGTGACCCTACTGTGGTGGGGACTGAAGGAGCTCCAATCTAGTCACATTCAGTAAGACTCTGAGTGAGGAAAACGGGAAACTGTGGTCAAATAAAAATGTGACTAATGTTATGTCACGTGTACATCTTGAAATCACAAAATTTCTCCAAATTAAAAAAGAGTGAAAGATTGCACAGTAATGCTGTGTAAACTGTGAACCACTGGCTGCCTCATGGTCTGTTTCAGCCACTGAACAGAAAAAAAAATTCTGTCCTTTGAGAGAATTCATACTGAATTATGCAAGCTAGAAACAATATAAATAACAAATTATGAGAGGTCTTCAGGAACACACCCCTAGAACAAAATATGACCAGGCTTTAATGCATGCAAAGCAATTAGCATGGGCCTGGAACACAGGAAGCTATTACTCTGCTATTATTATATTAACTCAGTGATAAAAGCCTCAGGATAAACACTTCCATGATGGAAAATGAAACAAACTCGAGCTTTCCCATGGGCCCAAGCTTTTCCTGGCCCTCTGGCTCCTGTCAGAGAAATCTCACAGTTGGAAAATCTGAGTCAGGTGTGCTAATAACACCCCATATGATGAAACAATAAATTTCCCTGCTCTTATCTGAAACACAGAATCTGGCTTAGGGAGTTGTTTACTATGTGCCCCCCTTGTATCACTATGCACACCTTACATACCCTCTTTTGTACCCCTCAGCCATATTTACACTAGAATTTTTGAGATGGCATGGACCCTCTGGGACTCAGTGCCACCCAGCAATACTCCTCTTTCTCTTCTCTTCATCCTCGTTCCTTAAACCCCCAGAGAACAGGGTTGTACCCTGTACATACTAGAAGCTCAATAAATATCTGTTGAACGTATAAGTAGGTGATTTTATGGATCGTACAAGCCATGTCTCTCTCCCATTTTCCGGACAATGAGCCACAGGCCAATTAGAGTGATGACTGAAAAATCCCTTCCATGTAGCATTAATTCAAGTTAATAACTGTCTCCTCCTCAGAGAGGAGAGCTAATTTCTCAAATCCAATAGACTAGGTTATAGTGAGGAAATAGTTTCAAGATACATTTTTAAAACTGCATCTGTTTTTCTAAGGAGCTTCCAACTTCCCAAAATGAGATCTGATGGTATGTGTGGACACTTCAGGCTTGGCTAATAAGTGGTGGGGAGACTAGAAAGGAGAGATCAAAAGAAAACAAGAACCTGGGTGAAACAGAACCATCCTGAGGAGATCAGGAAAGACAAAAGAGCAACACTGAATGATTTAGTTCTAACTGGAGCCTGGCGTTACCTGAGAGGAGCAACGAATGACTTCAGTTTGGGATTCACAGGACTCTTAGGCTACACAGGAAAACTTAATGGAGAAGCAAGTCCCGTGTTTGACTTGGACCTCCTTTTTCTACCAAAGCACACAGAGTACCTCGGAGAGATACAGACCTAGGAGGACTTAAATCCTTATCCTGACTTTAGGTCACCAAACATCGGACAAAGGTGAGAATGCATTCCTTGGGTAAAGATCAACCCTTGAGAAGACTCTAAACTCTCCCCCTTGAAATGGAAGTTAATGACTTTTTCTTACTGTCTTCTGGAGCTAATTATAATTACTTCTCTGGTAAGAAGTCAGTGCTTTGCACTGTTTTCTCTGGAGATGGATAACAGTTGTCCCCTTTGTCCTAAAGCCGCTTGTATGCTTCAAGAGTCAACTACTTAGAGCATAAATTTATTAAGGTCAACTCTGCCTAGATTTCTTAACTTCATATAATACTGTGGCTTTTGGGGTGCCTGGGTGGCTCAGTTATTTAAGCATCCAACTCTTGGTTTTGGCTCAGGGCAGGACCTCAGGGTCATGAGATCGAGCCCCACGTTGGGTCTCCATGTTCAATGAGGAGTCTGTTTGAGATTCTTTCTCCCCTCTCCCTCTGCCCCTCCTCTCTCTCTTTCTCTTTCTCAAATAAATAAATATTTAAAAAAATATTGTGACTTATATTATCAGATTCCTTCAAATCTTCATAACAAGATGGGTTGTAGACCCCTGATCCCATAAATTCAGGGAAAATCATGTGACATGATCTTTACCAGTGGGGTTTCTCTGCTTATCTCCCCAGGCACACTTGCTTTTTAGCCAGCAAAAAACTTGGGCTACCCAGTGATTTCCACAAATATCTGCCCATTTTCATTTCCAGAGCCTTCTCTTGTATGTCGCCAGCTTCAGTCATGCTCAGATTGGAGGCCTTGCTTGCCATCCAAGCTGCTTTGCTAGTGTTAAAGAACCATGGAATGAAGACTATCAGAAGACAAAGACTGGTTACTTCATCTACCACTTACTATCCCTGGACCTCTTTATACTCCACATTGCCCAAGGTTCAAGGTCATGCCCTTGCAAGGTTCAAGGTCACAGTATGCAAGCATGACCTCATCCAGCTCTTCCATGTACCCTCAGTCTCATCACTGAGATTTTTATCTCACCAGGCCATTATTTACTTACCTTGAGCTTCTTATTCTCCATGAGTCTGCCATGCAGTTTCAACCACTGTATCTTCCTCTAGGCATCTCTCTGATTGCAGCATCCTTCCTCCTGTTCCCTATGCCTCAAGCCCCCAAGTATCATACCTCTGAAATATACCAAGTGTCATACTTCTTAGAGGTATGGCACTTAACTCCCTAGACAGAATGAGTCCCTCACCTCTGTGTTCCCAGAGAATGCTATAGATACCTGTCTCATCGCCCTGACCACAGAGTACTATGGTACTTTTATAGGTCTGTTTCATTATAAACTTAGTTTTTGCATCTTCCTACAACTAAATCTACAATTTATTTCACAGTCATACTTCAAGAAATGAAGGAGATAAGTAAACATGTACATGATTCCTTAAGCAGAGGTGACTGTATGGCTTCCAGCACCAGGGTCTGGACAACACTTGTCTATCTCTGCATTAGGGAGAACCCAGCTAAAGAAATGTAACAAAAACAAGCCAGCTGGTGCCCAGCCAAGAGTAAAAAACATGGCATACCTGATAGACCATTATATTAACAGTTTCTTCTTTTTTTTGCTCTGGAGGCCCTTGACTCTTCAGTAGATTTCGTACTGTTTCTTCCATCCTGAGAAACAAACAAACACAAAATACATAAAGAATTTCTTTAAAGAAGGTTTGATTAACATGGGTCTATTCCAGTTAGGAGAAATATTTCTCCAGTATATTTCCTAAGCTGATACCTGGAAATCTATTTTCTCTTCTTTCTCTTTCATCGCCTATATTAGGAATCTGTCACAAAGTCCTTTAAAATCATTCTTCAGAATGTCTCTGGGTTCTCTTTCTCTTTACCATTCAGGTCCCTATCCTTGGCCTCCTGCATCTGTTCTTACGCAAACATCTCCCAATATCTCACTTCCCTTTCAATCACTCCCTTTTAATTTGACACAATGTCACCACATTAATCTTCCTGAAATACCACTTTGATTTCTTTAAATAAATTTTTGAAGTTGACGAATATTACATGAATGCATTTTCACTGTTAACACACTGTTACATCTTTCCATGGTGGTCTTTCCATTGTCAGCATACAAAGATCTACTTTATTCTTTTTAGCTACTTCCTGGTATTTCATGATATGAATGCATCATAAATTATTTAACCCTTCCTCTACTGATGGAACTTAAATTACTTCAAGATTTTTACTCTTTTAAATAATACACATCTTTACACATATATCCTAGTGCACATTAATTAGTATTTCTACAGGTTATATTGCAATGTATATTGTATATTATAATCCTATCTTGTCTCATATACCTACTTCCAATGCCCATCCCCCATTGTCCAAAAGTAAAGAGTAAAACAAACACACCCATTTCCATTTCCAGACATTGTCTCATGTTGTTACTACTTCCTGAAATGCCAAACCCTTGTATCTTCTCATTTCCAACCATCTTTCAAAATCTACTTCAACGGGGCACCTGGGTGGCTCCGGGGGTTAAACCTCTTTTTTTTTTTTTTTTTTTTTTTTTTTTAAGATTTTGTTTATTTATTTGACAGAGGGAGAGAGAGATCACAAGTAGGCAGAGAGGTGGCGGCGGGTGGGGGGGTAAGCAGGCTCCCTGCTGAGCAGAGAGCCTGATGTGGGGCTCGATCCCAGAACCCTGGGATCATGACCTGAGCCAAAGGCAGAGGCTTTAACCCACTGAGCCACCCAGATACCCCAATAAATAAAATCTTTAAAAAAAATCTACTTCAAATTTCAGTACCAAAGAGACATCTTTATTGCCCCCCCATTTCTTTGAATTTTTATAGCTGTTCTCTTTATATCATTCATACTATCACTTAAAAATTCCCCACTTTAATGCTCAAATAGCTCATGTATGTATGTTCTGTCTCCTGAAGTAAATTATAGTATTTGGTACAGAACCATGTCACAGATTTGTATGTGCCTCCCTCAGTTATAGATCAAGTAGGCACTCAGCAGATGCTGTTATAGGAATGCTTTGTTGATTCATTAAAAAAAATATTAGGTAGTTACTCTGTGCCAGACGCTGACCATGTATATTCTGTGTTTGAATGACCGTGTCCATGGGGCCCATCCATGAGGATACATAGACCAGGCTCTTAGGAGGACACCTGAACTAAATTCAGTGAACACAGTGAGTGCTCTTTTGCCCAGAACTTAAGTTGGCTGTTTCTTCTAGTCCTATTCTGAAGCATGTATTTTACCATTTTGAAAGACTTGAGGGAAAGTTGACTGATCCAGCTTCTTTCTTTTACTAAGAGCTTCTAGCATGGCAAATTAAGGGCTCCAGGAGGCCAATGAATTCCATGAAGTGGCAAGACCATTACAGTAACCAAAGGAGTATATTTCAAAATGCAAACCTTTCTAATATGATCTAATATGATAGAACTACTTAGCAGCAGAATGAGGAAATCACAGATAATCTGGGCTCGTCCAAATCCAGACTGTAGGGAAATTCTGCCTCCACAGGGGATGGCACCGAGACCCACTCAGGATTTCAGAAGACAGGGGACACCATTATGAGTGCTCAAAGAATGCTTTGTGACTTATATTTATGTGAGTTATCTCCTGTGCATCCAGCCAGGAGAGCAAAATCTGTTCCCTGTATTTTCATAAGTCTTGTGTTATTAATGATAACAACAAAATTAAATAGTACTTCCAACTTGTCAAAGAATGCTCATCTATTAACCATTATAATGTATTTGTAAAAGATCATTACATCAATGCAGTAGTTAAGAAAGCAAAGACACAGAAAGTTCAAGGGCTTCTTCATAGGAGCATTTTTAGTTGGGTAGATTAGGACTAAACCATTTTTCCTGACTGTGAGGAGCAGCCTTTTTTACACTAGGCCTTACTTATATCCAGGAAAATATTTAATTAATTAATTAACTAATTAATTAATTTTTCAAAGGTTTATTTATTTATTTATTGGAGAGAGAGAGAGAGAGCATGAGTGGGAGTGGCAGTGGGAGAGGGAGAGGGAGAAAATTTGAAGCAGACCCTGCACTGAGCAAAGAACCCAATGCAGGGCTTGATCTAATGACCCTGAGATCACGACCCCAATGGAAACGAAGAGTCAGACGCTTAACCCACTGTGCCACTCAGGCATCCCCAGGAAATGATTTTAAATGAAGAAGAATGTTAACTCTTAATGAAGAGTTACCTTGGTGAACATCTATGGATGCTGAACCCAAAAAGGCAAAAACACCATTTCTGACCTGGGAAGTGCTTAAGGTCTGGTAGAAAAGACAAACCAAATTTATATTAAAAAAACAGTTGTGAAGAAGGGACATATTCTGAAATATTAAATGATCAGAGCCAATTTCTAATATTTTATTTTACTGTGTGAAAAAACAAAGACAATCTCTCCAATGGTAGTAGATTTTCCATGCTGTCTGCCAGATCTATCATCAACAAGAAAAGTAATGATAATGGAGATGAGTTGCCCAAGATCAGGCAGTTTGTGCAGGACAGATCAAGGACTGGGCTCTGGTTTTCTAAATACTCATCTACTTTCTTCCCACCTTAGCACAGAAGCTGCAGGTCTTTCTTATTTTAATCTGGTTTTCATTCACTTATAAACATTTCTTTTTTTTTTTTTTTTTTTCATTTGACAGAGAGAGATCAGAAGTAGGCAGAGAGGCAGGCAGAGAGAGAGAGGAGGAAGCAGTCTCCCCGCTGAGCAGAGAGCCTGATGCAAGGCTGGATCCCAGGACCCGGAGATCATGACCTGAGCCAAAGGCAGAGGCTTAACCCACTGAGCAACCTAGCTGCCCAACTTATAAACATTTCTTAAATGGGTCCCAAATGTTAGACTTAGTGAAAATAAAATTTTGTCTTTTCTTAGTAAGTTAAAATATAATTCTGTCAGTGTATATCTTGCTGAATTATTCCTTCTGTATAATTAAAAGTTCTATGCACACATTGTTAGATCAAAAAGAAAAACATCTCTTCACCTTTCCTCATTCTTCTTGGCCTTATATTAAAAAAAAAAGAAAGAAAGAAAAGAAAAGGAAAAAGAAAAAGAGGAAAAGAAAAGAGGTGGGCAGGAAGTTGTTAAATTCTTAAGCAGCCAAGACCCACAGTAACACAGTGAACATTTTTTTTCTGGCACTATTTCATCATTAATTAAAACCAATTACATTTGTAAGCTACAGCTTGGAACAGAGTTATTGAGACCCATCCCAACCTTTGGTAAAAAATTAAGTTGTCTCATCCTTTCATAACTTTTATGAATCTGGTCACAGGGAAAATACTTTGAACCTGATGAGAAGACATTATTATTTATTCCCTGATGACATCTTTTTTAAGTTTTAATTTAGCAAACATCTCTATTTGTTTTCCTGAAAATCAAAGACTGTGAAGCCTTAGCTATTGTCATTTGATGCCTGCTGACATTTTACTTCATTTTATTATTTTGATAGCTGATGTGTCTTCACATAGAACAGTTCTATAATCTGTTTTCCAAACGTGCCTAAAAATAAGCTGACTCCTTTTTCCATGCCAGGTCTAGGCAGAAATTTTCTTTTTTCTCTGTTGTTGTTGCTGGGTTTTTTTGTTGTTTTTTGTTTTTTGTATTTTTTACTGCTGATTGGTTTAACACCACCCTTAATCAATGTCTTCCAGTTCTTTTTTATGTATTTACTTATTTTTGGTCTGAACTGTGACTAAAGTCTTTTCTTCTCTTACATACCGGTCAAGTGGCTGTCAACTAAAAAGACATAGGCCAAAATTGTATTTGGAGAGATGTAGCAAGTTCTAAAGTATAATATTTTCAAGAAGCTAAGTCCTATACAAGTCAGAGAAAAGAAACTAAACTCATATGTCAATAGTGTATTTCAGATAGCACAGGTCGAAATGTAAGAGTTTTTGCCTAATGACACACTAGAAACTGATCAGAATGCTAGACTGAAGTGTTCTTTTGTGACTTCCATGATCAGAGACTCAGTTTAGCATAACTTCATTTTTGACAGAAATAAAACAAAGTAAAGGCAAAACAAGAAGCCACTCTCTCCAACTCAAACTGATAATTGATGGGGCTCTTTCAACTGGAAGCTGAACTGAGTCCCATTTCAAGAAATATTCTAATGGGTGCTCACTGATTAATCACACAATACATTAATAATGAAATTAACAGTGAAATTACTCATATTCCCTCATTGACTTTTCTGTCAGAGGTTACAAGACCATAACCCATTCATTTCTGCCTTGTTAATTAATGATCTCTGAGTTTCTTTAGGTCCGTGGTTCTGCCTTGTTTATTTTATCTCCAGCAACTGATCATAGCTACTTTTACTGGATTGGTGGTCTGTAAATCCCTTTTGAGTGAATGAGTGAATCTAACAGTTTCTTCCCTCATCCATTTCCTGGCTTCTTTTCATTTCCCCACAGACCTATATGTAAGTCTAAGTGGCCAGAGAGAAGTAGTGACAAATGAAAGGCATCAATAAGACTGGAGGGTACATCTTAAGTTGTGACACTTGGGGCTAAAATGCTGGCCTTCTGGTCATTAGCAAAACAAACCAACCATCTCCCAGAAATAGTAACTCCTTGCTCTTTTTGTCACCCTGAATATGCAGTCCACAGTCAGCATGCTT